CAGAACTCATACATTCTATGGATGAGAAACTTAGTTTAAGTTGTGGTTGTTCTGCCACTGCCCATTCGTCTGCCTTTGCCTCTCTAGCTGTAAGTTATTTGTTTGTGTTATGATTGTGAAAGTGGCTGGCATCTTATATGAAGTTACATATAGCGCATGTTTATAGGTCCCTCTACTTGTTGAGGAGTTGATTATTATTTTTACTCAGTATATACCTTTGTTCTTGCAATTAACAGCTTGGGAGATCCAAGTGGAATGGCAATGCTGGGAAGTCTGGGATAGTCATTAGAGTGGAAGCTCCCCTTGACTCTATTTGCAGGCCTGCCTTCTCTATTCAGTTGAACAGTGGAGTGGAGTTCTGATCCTCTCTCGGTTCATTGTACAGATGATTATGTACATATTTTAAGCTTCTAACCTACATGCAACGTGAAGATACCCTACTAGTATACACAGATCCATCAGTAATTCTCGAGAAGACATCTAATTTCCTGCCCCACTACCCACCAAGTTGCTTGGACAAGAAGATCATGTGCAAACTGCCAGTGGACGATACACAAAGATCCATCAGTAATTCTCGAGAAGACATCTAATTTCCTGCCACACTATGCACCAAATTGCTTGGACAAGAAAATCATGTGCAAACTGCCAGCGGACGAGCCACTGCTATGAGGTTTAAGCCTAATTTTCCCGCAGTCAGGTATTCTGTTTCATGATTAATGTACTGGTAGCAATATCGTAAAACTACAGGGTGCTATGCTACTGCAGCTATAGTGCTTGTAAATGCAGAATTAAGGAGGCATCTACCATGATCGATGCTCAAGTCGATACAATTTGTAAAATCATCGTGGCATTACATAGGTGAATGTATACCTGTGCTTGGAATCTTCCAGATCACCACTGTTTCATTAATCATGTACAATTATTTAGCATGTATCCTTAGTTATTTCAAGCATTTCCTGCACTGTGTTTATCTTCAGTTCACTTGAAGAGGTCTACAAAACTTGCTCGCTGTTGTTGGCGTCTTCAACCGTATCAAATCTTCCACCTACACTGCATTATCTCTCATTGACCGCATAAATATTTATGAAATTTCATCTTTGAATTATGAAAAAATTTTATTCTGCAAATCTAGAAATTCTATTGTCATTACTGCATAGTGTGTGTTGCTTCGAGTGTCTGTTACTAGTCCACACTAAGATTTATCAGCCATCACAGGCAAATTCTCTTAGTGGCCAACAGCTTTTGACAGGTTGCTTGATCCATCTTTTATCTTTATGTTGAAAGGTACATAAATTTCTAATCTGCAGAAAATCTGCTTAAGAAATAATTGTTATGATTCATTTCATCTGTTTTCATTAAACTAATGCATACATATGTAGAATATGAAACTTCAGTTAGGCAAAGACATGATTATGCTCCACATGCAAAGCTTCTGCAGAACACACCAGAATTAGAAAACTATGGTATGATATAGAAACGACTTGGTATACAGAACAATGTTCATCTTATCATAATACAACGCTACGGTCGATACAGGTGGTACATGACAAGGGATATATATATATATATATATATATATATATATATATA